TCGCCAAAGCTGCCTTGCACTGGGTGATGAAATTACTGGATTGAAACGAGAGAGGTATACGAAATGATGGGAGATTCCTCTCGAACCTTCGTTTTGCAGACTGCATTGTTCTCTTCTCGAGAAATATCACTGAAGCGGAGAATATGTTGAAGGAACCAAGAAGTAGGGAAGGAGATAGGACTGTGAATCAACAGGAAGAAGAATTCATGAAGAAACGTCTTGCGGGGACCAGAAAATGGAGTCAGAAGGCTCTCCAATTGCGGAGACGTCTTCTTACGTATATCTCGGACGTTCGATGGAAAAAAGAATTAAACAAGAGGCGAAGAGAAGTTTGGGCTGCTTTCGGGCCCCTAAAGGAAGCCAAAAAACCTTACGGACCCAAAGCTCCGAGCTCAACTGTTCGATTCAACATTCTCCCTGCGCTCTGTTACGCAGCAGAGACGTGGCCTCACACAATGCTGCGTCAAATGTTCCCCGAACTACTACGAAAGCGCTAGAACGACGTCTTCTAAAGTACAACCGACGCACTCATATCTCGTCCGGCTTTGCAGTTCAGATATGAAATGTCATGTCTTCCGATCCAGCCGCATACCTCCGTGAAAAAAGTCGAAGGGCTGGTATATAACGAGAAGGACAGACGACAGATGGATAATTAGAAGTTCGGAATGGATCGTTTGCGTAGCAAAACGACCTCGAGGAAGGCCACCGACCAGATGAGCTGACGTCGTTGCACGAATGGACCAGTTAAATTCTCAGCTGGTAACCATTAGGAATCGGACCTCGCGAACGTCGCCACCGCAGTTAATACCAACATGGATGAGGCTAGAGAGGGACAGAAAGCGATGGAAACAATGCTAGAGCCTGCACGACGAGTGAAGACAGGCTATTTAAGTCGTTAAGCAAGTAAACCTTAACACTCCCCCACCTGCTATTTTGGAGTTCAATCTTTCCGCTGTACTGTCTTAAATGCTGATAAACTACCTTAAAAAAGTCACTTCTTTTTGACAACTTTGCTTCATCTTGATACATGATTATCTTAAGAAACCGTATATACATAATCTGTGCAAATGGTGTGGTAGAGATTGATCATTACCCTATTTCAC